GTTGGCGGTGGGTGGTGATGACTAGCTGCCTTCCCTCTAGTCTTACACTGCTAAATTAGGGATGGCTAGCACAGATAGCTTTCGTGTAGCTTTGCACGAAATTCAAATACAAACAATTATTTAAGAAAATTTTACAAACTCCCAATACGTATACAGATATATTCTTTTTTAATACTCCATTTTATTTTAGTTTTTGAAAGCATGTATAGAGTTTAGCTTGCTTGGAATAAGGTTTGGATTTTTGAATAACATAATTATGTCTTCAAGGACTTACACAGTGACAAAAACAGCAAATATTTTTGAGAAACAGAAGGAAATATGAAACTATGCTTTAACTTAAGTATTTGTATCATAAAATAAAACCAATAAAAGTGGGATTTAATTTTAAAATAAGTTGATAAGATAATTTTTGTTTCTGCTATACTAATTACAACTTTGTTTGAATTTTAATGATGCATCCTATTGTAATTTTTAAGTCCATAATATTAATAAGTAACATTATTTCACTTAATACCTTCACAGTGTATCATTCATCCTTACAAAAATTATGTTTTTGTAATTCAAAACATGAAACATATTTGAAGAACATAGATTTAATGGAGTAAGTTCTATGTAAGTTCATTCTATTTAGACAAGGAACTTTCTCCACTATAGATCAGAGAGTAAAAATCATAATTCTATCTAAAAACACACTTTTACTAATTTAAGGCTGCATTTCTCACCTCATTTGAATGGGTCCTATTTTGGTGTTTGGCTCGATCAGATGCATTACTAAATGCCTTAGTACAACCTGGGAACTCGCATGTATATGGTTTTTCCCCCGTGTGAGACCTCAGATGGGTTTTTAAGTTCTCCAGACGTGAGTATGCTTTACTGCAACCTTCAAACTGAAGGGAAAAGTTTAAAACATTCTTGTTTTTTCAGTATTCCTTACATTAGAGGTTATAGTACAAGAACATAGCTAGAGGGGGTCAAATGACTACCCTAATATTCTGTTGTTTTTTTTATAAACACTTGAATTTCATTAGTTGCATATAAAAAAGGTCCAGATCCTTTTTTTTGTAAAAGACCACTTCCCTCCCTTACATCCCTGCAGTAAAGTTTAAAACTTTCTTGTTTTTTATCATTAATCTTTACACACTAAAGATTCCAATTTATACTGTTGCACTTTTTTCAGTATCCTAATAATTTTGAGTTATTTATATATTTATGACTGCTTAAATAAAGAAAAAAATGAATTTAAAGCTTAATTTTGCAAACATTTCAATAAAACATTTATCTTTTTTTGTTATTCCTGCAAGATTCAGATGTTTCAGCTTGATAATTTATTTTTTTGTTCACCAATCTGAACTAGAAAAAAAAAGTACAGCACAGCAATAAATAAAAGTCTCTTGTAGTTTCATAGAATCTTTTTCTAACACCCCTAATGGCCACAATGAAGCCATCTTCTTAGTCTTAATAGTTATCCTTACTCTAATTTCCTTTGCTTTTCAATACTCATATATTAATCATCGTAAATCTTCCTACCCACTTTCCTAATTTTCTTTAGAAATACTTGCACTTTCATAGCTTTGTTTATTAGTATTCTCATATTAAGGATGGTTAAAAAATTACTTCTCACTATCACAATTTCCTATACTTGTACCTTCATTTTAAGATTGGTAAAAACATTATTTTTCATTTGCATAACTTCCTCTGCTAATACTCTCATATTAAGATTTAAACCTCCTTACATTTAATTTTCCACCCTTAAAAAAACTTACTGTGCACTTATGAGGCTTTTCTCCAGTGTGTCGTCTCATGTGAACAACTAGCATATACTGTGCTTTAAAAGGCTTTTCTTCTCTAGAGCAGTCTTCCCATCGACAAACAAAAGTTTTCTTGTTCCCATGGATGTGGTCATTATTTATATGCTGCAAAAAAGTACAAGTTCATCGATAAGATAAAATGGGCTGCTAAATTATTTACTAAATAAAAATGTGACAAAATCTGACTTTATGCACATCTTTAAGCCTCTTTAAAAAATAATTATACTAAACTTCAAAAATCTGATTTTTATATTATGTTACCATTTGAATAGCTAGTTATTTTCAAGCATTTTATATTAAATTATTAAACTAATTGATAGTGTAAAGAAATCTAGAGTAGCTAATTTTGACACATTCACCATTAATAGAGTACTTCAATAACCAACTAATACTTTGTCAGAGACATTTTAAATATCAATGCCTATAATTAAAAAATATTAAAGTTTAAATACAATTACAATTGTTAACATAGTTGTGCAAGTTCTGATTTGAATGCAACTTTAACAATTCACATATAAACACAATGTAACTTTAATTATCAAGTTTTTAGTATGACAACTTTGAAGTTTAACACCTAAAGATACCTTAACAAGCTCATTCTGGGTGCCAAACTCTTTTCCACAATCTTTCCAATGACAGTTTGTTTCCACAAAATCTCCAGGTTCATCTTTGAGATCAGCAGCAGCATCACGATCATCGTCTGCTCCACATGGTTCACCAGCTGTGCTGCTCATTGATTCTTTTTTAATCTTGTTTCTTCGACTTTCTTCTGCATCAACTGTGCTGCTCACCACATTACTGGCCATTTCTCGATTTCCCACATCCAGCTGTTGCAAACATAAGTATTTTAATAATCTAACAATAAACATTTTCATAAACTGTGAATAACACTTTTATAATAAAACTGTTTCCCACTGAGACACCAAATGAAATATCCTATTACTATACAAATTATTTAAAAGCTGTAAAAACAATTAGAACAGCTAAAAGTGATGCATAACCAATAATAAAATTTCTAAACATAATGAATTTAATTGTAACCTCCAAAATGGTGTCAACATTAGTAAAGAAAGTAACTTAGTCATGTTTGAGCAAGCTAAATAATTATCTTGTAAAATAAGTTAACAGTGCAGTAGAGCACAAGGTTATTCAATCAAAACAAAGTAATTCTAATTAGAGAAACATTCAAATAACTAGAAACAATACTCTCTTGTTAACAGAAGATAATTCTGGTCTTAAGTACTTAAGTAACACTCACGCCTGAGTCAAGCTTCATGCTTCCAAAAGTACCACCTGAAGCTACAAGGCCATGACCAGTTAGTAACGACTGCTGTGGAAATCCTGAGTTGGGTGGAAAAAGAACAGAAGAACCTAACCCCCCCTGGCACATCAGCTGGTGGAGTTGCTGTAGATGTGGAGGAACAGTGGGAGAAGAGACACCCATAGCTGGACTGAGTGTTCCTAATTGAATTATAAAGATTACTTATTTAATGAAAAACAATTTAGATGCCTTTATTTTCGTTTTTAAATTTCAATTTGAAAGTAAAGCATGAATTGAATATTCTATAAAGGTAACTTTCATACAAGTATAAGTCATAGTGAAAAATGTTATAGTGATAACACATTGTAATGAGTTGAGTGGAAAGTAATAGCTCAGAAAGTAATGCCTGGTTTCAAAACACTACAGGAAGCCACAGGTTTCAAGTCTTGGTCAGGGTAGGATGACCCTCACCTAGTTACAATTTGGTGCATGAACAATAATATCTTTGATACAGAAATAAGCGAGGTATATGATTATTAAGTTGTACAATACAAGATTATGGATGAGGATGTCCTTAGGAATTACTGAAAGGGCATACAATGAACAAGGTAGAGAGCTGTCTGCTTATATATCTATATTAGTGTCAGCCATAGGTCTTTGTGTCGAGTCTTGGTTCTAGTAGATTACTTCTTACCAAGACAAGTTTAATTAAGAAGAACAATGCAAAACCCCTAGGTTATATAATTTTCAAGGACAGACCACTCTTTATCAAGGGTGAATTAAGTTGTTTGATATCCTATTTGCTTGTATATAAAAAGGCATTACTTAAAAAAATTGCCATACACAAATTTATTTTTGAATATGAGACAAAGACTGAACAATGCATGATGCTTTTAGCTAACAACTATAACCAATGTTTATGTTTTGAAGGAAAACAAGTACTGACTGAACTGTTCTTTCATAAATACATCCTGTATATAGTTAGCACTGTAATTGTTACATCGTACAAAGATACAAGAGATCATACTTCTTACCTTGACAATTTATCCTGATGTGCACAAAAACAAAATATAAAAAATATAAGTATATTAAGTTGCTTCAAAGAATTTTAAAAAGAAAATCACAAAATGTATTTCAATCCTATGTCAAAATCATACTTATATATCTTATAATACAAATGAGTAACTTCAAATTTTGATTATCAATTCGTTATAACAATACATAAAAACATTTACTACCACAGAAGACTAAAAACAAACATAAAAGAGCTTAGAAGTGTTTAGGGATACTATTTCTAATTTTTTACAAAAAAATTAAATACCACATATTCAGATTTTATAAAAAAAATATTACATACCAGCAGAAAGATGGCCATATGATCCACTGGCACTAGAGCTTCGAGATCCATTCATGAAAGACATCAAGGAATTTGGAGAAAATCTAATCATAGAACTGATATCAAAAGAGTCCGAATAGGGTGAGCTGGACATAGCTCGCTTCCTTCCATGTCGAAACCCTGGTCTGGGACTAGTCAGACGAGAACCTGAAGAAAACAGAGCAACAAAGAGGTAGGAGATTACCAATCTATCTTTACTTTCAGGTGATAATATGAAGGTTACTTAAAACATATCAGAACCAGATCACCTGGTTTATAACACAGTAATAAGGTATGCAGGCAGTTTTTAGTAAACAAGTAGAAGCAAGCTGTTTTTGATATTTGATGCAAATCTGAGTCCACAGTTTAATGCTTTCACTCCTGAGGATGCACATGTGAGTGTTTAGCATTCATTCATGTGTGCTTACGATGCACATGTGCATTGATTTGTTATGACTGTTATTGTTTAAATTGAAAACACAATGATATTGCACTAAAACACTTATCACAACTTGCCATAAGTGATGCCAAGCATCACAGCAGTTAACATGTTAAACTCATATCATTGACAGTTCATAGACAGATCTAATGTATGAGTCCTCATGGGATTATTTATCTGTCATAATTGTAAAGACAAAATAAATCAGATAAATCTAAATTTCTTGAATTAGAAGGATACCAAATTTAAATTTTTGTTCTCTCTGTATAAGTAGAAAAAAATAGTTTTAATATAATATACATATTCAATTTTATATTATAAATTCAACAAATTTAAGTCAAACTTATGATACAAATATTATGACTTTTGGATTACAGTTATAGATGAAATATTTTCCTGGATACATAACATGCTATATAACTGTTACTAGGTGATAACATTAGTTATTGACCTCTTTCACAATTCCATTACAAAGTGTGCAGGAATTATAGCTATGATACAAAACAGAGTGCAAGGATGATTAATTTTTACAAAACATAAACCTAGCACACAGTTACCTGGTCTCTTCAACAGTTAGAGATTCAAAGACCTATTACATGTAAGTATGGGTGTAGCAATTTATAGTGGTGGAGCGAAAGAGACAAGTCTCACTATGATGTTGAAATAGGAAAACAGAAGAACAACTACCTGTACAGGTGTAAAGAACTACTACATTGGGAAACACTTAGATGAAAAGTAAAATAAACTGTATTTAAAGGTTAAAACATGGAAGAAACTCCAACAGCAGATCTTGAACTCCTTCAGGACAGAAACAAATCTGTCTGAAAATGCTAAACTTGTATTTACAGTTCTACTTTTCTCTGTATCCACCCAATCAAAAAACAAGATTACAAGAACCCAGAAATACCTCTGCTCCATATGGCAGTAGTAAAGCAAAACTCTATACACAAGTTACAATAGAGCACAATACAAATATCCCAAGAAACAATAGATAGTTTTCATGATCTGACTCTCAGGCTGAATCTAGCATGTGATCTCGAAAATATTAGAACATAGAAAATGTTTACAAGTTATACACACTATAGAAGAGTAAGATGTGTAGTATTTTCACTCTAAAATATTATTTACTATTCATCTTGAAAATGTGTAAAACCATAACAAAAACTCAACTGCTAGATGTATATGACTTTTATTATTAAAATAAATAAATAAAGCTACGTCCACCATTACTAATATAATGATATAAATAAAACAAAGCTATGTTTAAACTTACCATCTACAGAAAAGCCTAGGTCTGCACTTGCAGCTGAGCTAGGTGGAATAGGATGGAAATCCCCAACCAATCCCCGTTGGCTGAGTGCTGCCACTTGGTGGAGGTAGTCCGGGTGCATTGTTAGACCTGCAGGTTTTCAAAACATGATCAACAATTTTAATACGGCTTAGTTGTAAACCATTCAAAATCACATAAGTTGTAAATTTTGAAAATTCCACCTGTCAAATTGAATATATCAGGTAACATAATCATGTTGTGGTTAATATTATACAGCAGTACACTATGGAAGCAAAAAAAATTTTAATTGTTTTAAATTAAAAGTAATACTTACATTTTACATATATATATATACTTGCAAGGACTTACCATACCAATATCTCAAGAGTCTTAACACTCTGATTTCTTAATACAGAGATTCAGCTTTAACTGTTTTTCTTAAGAGTACTATAGAAAAGTCTAAAATTAGTACTGAAGCCCATCACCACATAAACACAATTACATAGCCTGCAAAATGAAAAGGTTCATTAAAAAAATAGAGAGAGAAAAAAAAAAGTTCACATTTGGTGATACAACAATGAGCACCCTCAACCAAAAACAGCTCAACAGCCTTTTTAAGACAAAGCTGAAAACATTTCTAGGTAGTTAGGAATAAGCCTTTTGTATTTAAATATACATAATGATTAAAAACTACTAATATTTTTTTTTACCAGTACAGAAATTAATGTAACTGAAAAATAAAGAAATACGTATTTGTATCAAAATTTAGTCACTTTTGATCAAGCAGATCATAAGCAATTTAAATGGTCAGTTTTCTTGACCAACAGAAGATTCATACAAATAGAAACAGTACCTAAGCAATCTAACTGGACAAATCTCTGAACCATCAAAACATCTTAACACAAAGAAATAGTACTTAATAATATTTAAATAATCAGTTGTTTCTACAAATATAAATGGTAAAATTTGTTGTTTCTTTCAGTGAATTTGAAGTTCTTACAAATGAAAAAGTAATTACGATTTACAATAATGCAAGTGTCGTGTTCTATAAGTGAATAGAAAACTTTTACAAAATCAATTGCTGCATTCATTGCAGTACATGGCTGTATTTTAAAAACATCTTCCACAGTTGGATGATATACATTTCATATCTGACTTCATCTGAAAAACATATGGTAAGAGGTAACCATCATCAAGTCAACAAGATGCTGTTGCATTTTTAAAATATTTTACACAGTTGGATAACACACATATTCTTCTATGGAGTATACACACATTGAAAGCTAGACAAAAAACTCATTCAGTTTAAAAAAGAGATTCATTTCTCTTAGTACCTTCTTTGTTGTCATTCGGAAATAATCCTGTATCCAATAGCAGAAATGTTGTTTTTGCACCACAAGTTATAGTTACTCCCCTGACTAGAGATATATTATTACAGGGTCGGTATCCAGCTCCATACAATATATTTCATGGTCAACAGATCCATTAGCTCTTTACATAAATCATTCTACAACTGAGTGTACAAACTAGATAAGATCTTTTTCACTAGAAGTTTAATAAATCCATCACTTAAGGAGATTAATCCCAAACATTATCTGCTTTTCCTTCTTGGAAAGGATGAATGATCAGATCTCTTGAATGACTCTTTGTGAGGCAACTCAACAGACAAGAAAAATGAGTAGTAAACCAATACTGATTGGTAGATTCTCTTGCAGGACTTATGTAGTATGTGAAAGCAACATCAAGGACGAAATGTTGATTTTTTTTATCACTTCAACCAACTTTAAAAATCAATGGTAATAAATTTATCAACACACTGAAAAGATTAGTTAACTTTCATGAAGTTTATGAAATACAATGTCATTTGAAAACATGTTAACAGAAACTGTAGAATTTTTATGACAATGAAATTACTTTGTTCAAGTTATAAAGTTACATTACCTTAAGTAAAACACTAGGCTTGATTTTCTGTTTATCTTATAATGAATTCGCTTAATATAGAAATTTTCCAGTTACAAAAAAGGGACAGGCCTGGTATGGCCTGGTGATTAGGGTGTTTGACTCGCAAGTTCGAATCCTATCATGAATATGCTCACCCTTTCAGCTGTAGGGACATTATAATGTAATGGTCAATCCAATTTGTGGTTGGTAAAAGAGAAACCCAAGAGCTTGGGGTGGGTGGCATTGAATAGTTAGCTACCTTCCCTCTCATCTATCACTTATAAATTATGAACAGCTAATGCAGATATATATATACAGCTCTTGAGTAGGTTTGCATGAAATTACAAAAACAAACAAAAAAGGAACACTCCTCTCCATAAAAATGGATTCTAAAGGACAGAATGAATAATAAATAATAAAACTAAAAAAAGGCAGGAATATTGAAAACACTCACAAGTTGATAAATATGTAAAACATAAAAATTATTCTTAATGTTCACATAATAATCTGTTTTGTACATTTCTGAGTTAGTACTTCTAGAATTTTGGTATTCTTGAACAGACTTTGAAAATATTTTTAGCACTAAATATGTAGATAGAGAAAACAGCCAACAAAAATACAATGTGAAGTGCTTGTGTAATACAATAATGCCATGGTGATAGTTTAAGTGCTGCATCATTTGTATTTTTTATTTGCGATATTAAAAAAAATACAAAATTCACACATTATGCAATATAGAAAAAATACAAAATTCACACATTATGCAATATGGAACGCATAACTTCTATTCTTTCCTGTTCCATTTATGTTATTTTCAATTTCTACAACTTCAGTGATAAAATTACAATTTTTAACAGAAATATCCCTTCACTCTTAGTTTTGCTGCTACAATTTAGCTTTATTATATACAGTAGTAGGATATGTGGTCAACAAACCTTGAGTATCCATGGGGCTGAAGCCTCTAACTGACATGGATGGGTTGGAATGAAAAGAGGAGTACAACTGCTCCATATAGGCTGGGCTGAGACGATACGGATGATGAAATCCAGGATCCATTTGCCCATTTGAAACTCCCCGACGTTGCGTAAGGAAAGGAAGTTCTGATAATCCGGGACTTGCTCCATTGCTTGCAAGTCTGAGAAACACAGAACCAGACTATTAGATTAATCTGAAACTTATATACAAATATACCGACACACACTGTTGGCCTATAAAAGCGTCTCTTTATACTTGTAAGAAAAAATGTTAAGACTCGTACTTTTTAACTGTCGTGACTGATCAACTGGTGCAAAAGTAAAAACATAAAAAATAACTTGAGGTTTGTGCTAAATTTTATGGCTGTAAAGGTCTTGCACACTGTTTCCAGTAACGTTTTACTTAATCTTATCCTTCGACACTAGGACACCTTTTCACCTGACTAATAATTATTACAGGTTTTTCAAAACAAAATCACACTTTACGTTACACTTTGTGTAGCATCAAACATTATTTTACGTTTCATCCAGTACTGCACTAATTACACTCCCCAGGTGGCTCAGGGATAAGTCTGAGGGCCTATAACGCTAAAAATCGGGTTTCGATACCCGCGGTGGGCAGAGCACGGATAGTCTATTATGCGCTAAAATACTTTAGAAATCGTGTTCATATCTTCCTAAGACTGTTAACACTGTGTTAAAAGATGACGCGTATGCGAAAATATTTACGTTTAAAAGGTCAACTAAACACTTAAAAAAATGTCTTACCTATCATATATGACAACTGGTGGATATTTAGCTCCCTTTTCTTTGAATGAAGTATTATTTGTTAAGATCCAGAATTTAGTTATATGCCTAATCTTCTCTGTTGTGTTTGAATTTGAAAATTATTTTTTAAACCTCTTAATTTATTTGCTTGCCGACTTTTTATCTTTTTTTTTCCTTCTTGGGAAGCAAAGAATGATTTGTGGAACTATATAAATGTCACATAAATTTTCATCTGTCAAATATCTAATTACACGAATGAAATCGTTATGATATAATTCGGCTTACCGGCGTAGCTGGCATGGAAAATTAATTTAAGTTTCTCGCACAAAATATTTCGTGAACGCCTTAGGCTACTTTATATCATATTAGATAGCATGCAATAAAGTTGAGGTCAATTTTGATGTCATTTGATAAAGAAGATCATTTTTACCCCACGACCTAACGTGTATTCGTGACAACATCCATATCCGCAAAAAAAAAGTTAAAAAGAGAAAGAGAGAGAGAAAAAGCGCCATCTCCCGAGGCGGAACAAAAACTTCGCCACACGAAACCACCAGGTAATTCCGACAGATCACTGAAGGCTTGATCACGAAACCCCAGCGTTAGCGGCTTCAGAGTCCAGCATAGTATAGGCTAACAAGGTGTGTCATCCATCTTCTGAGACAGATGCTTGTTGAACAGGATAGATCGAGGTCATTAATGGTCTAATCACTTCCTTTTTCTTCACCAAAACCTATGTAGCAGTCAGATTTCAGTAATCAAAAGTCTCGAATTTCTCAAGCCAGCGGCTTTAGTCCAAAGAAACCTGAAAAGCGAAGGTTTGCATGTGAATCGAAGGGCGACTGATTTACAAAGCCTGTGGTTAGTAGAAAAACATTACTTGTAGCAAATACTGTTGCCAACATATTATTATGCTTAAACAGTCATTGCCTTCTAAGAGTTGTTTATCAGGTTGATGGCGTGGTACAAGTCGCAGTAAGTTAATAAGTAAAACTTAATCTGTTACTGGAAAATAATTTATTAGTCTTCGAAAACTTATGTGAAGCCTACTCACTGTTATGGTTGTCCCACACCACATCTTATAACTTAGCTCATTGGCTAAAGTTTGGAAGGGGCAGCACCATATATTCAGTATGCAAATAAATCTCAGGATCCAAGTATGTTTATCCAACCACGTAGAGTTTCTTTGTTTATTTTGTTGTTAAGTGCAAAGCTACACAATGGGTCATATGTGCTCTGCCCATCGTGGGTATCGAAACCCGAATTTTAGCGTCGTAAGCCTGCAGACTTGCCGCTGAGCCACTGGGGGGGGGCACATATAGAGCTAAAGGACACAGTACATCCTTGAGAAAATGTAGACGTCATTTTTGAACGTTCTTTTTTTATTACCTTGATAACAAGAAAACTGTTTTGAACGTAATTTTTCTTAAACCATGAAACATATTTTATAATAATAAAGTTTTATACTGGCTTTTCTGCAACGAATCCCATGTATTTATGAAAGGTTTATCGTTGAATTACAATATCAAAGGGGGAAAAAAGAATGAAATATCATGCACGTAAATCACCAAGAAACATCCAGTTCCATTTGGTATAACAGGGTAATAAAACAGTTAAAAATATTCATATCATCCGTAATCTTACAAAAGCTGCTTTAAGTTATACTAAAAATACAAGGTGATTATAAAGAAATCCCCATATATTATAAGTTTTATTCAGGAAAGTTTGGACCTTTTACAGGGTGTTTCCAAAACTGTTGCAGAAATTGTTCAACATTCTTTTCGTCATTCTCAACCAGCATATCATGCTTAACCCTAAATGAAGCTACTACAAGCTTTCTCTGTTCTGGACAATATTAACTGATATAGAAATATTCTGCACGTTGACACGTAAGTAAAAGCAATGCCAGTTTGCGATAAAATACACTTAGCTATGCAGTATAATAACGTTTTGAAACACCCTTTACAATGTTCAAACTATCTTGATGGAAACTTATGCTTTCCACTGTGTCTCTAGTGAAATGTTCCCCTTGAACACAAGCCTGGTGGTTAGGGGCGCTCGATTAGCATTCTACGGATCGCGGGATCGAAACCCTTCACCGAACATGCTTGTCCTTTCAAAAACTGGGGAGGTTATAATGTGAAGGCCAATCCTATTATTCTTTGGTAAAATAATAGTTTAAAAGTTGGTGGTGGTGGATGATGTTGACTAGCTGCCTTCCTTCTAGCATATCACTTCAAAATTAGGGATCGCTAGCGCTGATAGCCCTAGCGTAGCTTAGCGTGAAATTTAATAAACAACCCCTAGAACACATAGTTTTAAGATCTAAGCAAAAAAATCAAACAAACAAAATGGGAACCCATTTTACTAAAGAACAAGCTTGCTTGTCAAATTCATAGTTCTATTTTATTTATTTTTTTCACTTTAGTTATCTGAGTGTCTTGGCAACGACTTGTTTTGATACCATTCGTTAACGGAGGGTTCCCCATATTGTATTATACTGAGTAATTTTATGGTTTTGTCTATTATTACACTCAGTTTAAAGAACTGACCACACGAATTAGGTTAACTCGCTCATTTAATATATCAAATACATAGAAAACCACGGCAGTAAGTTAGTGGATTTATTGCAATATTGATGGGTTTCTTTAATTTTGTGTGTGTGACTCGTGTGTTATAAGGGACCCTATAACCAACAAAGTCATGGAGCTACAAGCAATTTGATGAATAGTTTTGTTTGTTATTAAATACAAATTTACACAGTGGGCTATTAGTACTCTACCCACAACGGATATCGAAACCCGATTTTTAGCGTCATGAGCCCTCGGACTTGCCGCTGGAACCACTGGGGAGCATAAAGTTTTTTTTTGTTTGTTTGTTGTTAAGCACAAATTTAAACAATGAACTATTCGTGCTGTTCTCACCATTGGTATCGAAATCCGACTTTTAGCGCCATAAGCCCTCAGACTTGCCACTGGGGAGTATGAATAGTTTAGAAAAAAATGTGTTTAAAAAGCCGTTGGGATATGACCCAATCGTCAACTTTTATGGTATTCTCACATGGAAAAACACACACACACATATATATATATATATATATCATTTAAACCTGAACAGATTACTTGTTTCTTAATAAGAGAAAGTACTTGTCCAAAAATTTTACACCTGTCGAAAACGTTTAAAAATACCCTATTTTATAAAGGAAGTTACTAGAAATAAAAAAAAAGAGTACTGGTTAGTTTTTATTCCACTCAATCCTTTTTTCAACATTAAACTACTTTGAAGGAACTAGAAAACGACCCTTCAAAGTTTGACCCATGAAATATAGTGTACGCACTTAAGTTCCTTTTTACGACACTAAGGTCAAAGTTAAGTATTCAAATATTATGGTAGCGAAGCGTGATCTGTTCATTCTGTTAAACCGTAGTTTGGGTGACACTACATTGCAATAAGACTCATTACTATACCTTACTGTAATCATAATAGATAATTCAAACTTTCAATAAATATAGAATTTCCATAAGCGTTAATCACTTGATATGAATTTTTAAACTTTAATTTTTTTCTTTCTCTCGTGGTTATTTTGTGAACGAGCAGTAATTACCTAGGACTTAGTGAGTAAACTAACTGAATATTGAATAAGCTGAATCTGACAATCTATTAAATTTTCTGTCTCCTCTAAATGCCTTTAATCTTAATTTCATTTAAAATTAGTACCTGTAGTTTATAAGATTTGTATGTTTGACACGTAAATGGAGATATAATATCTAAGACACAGATATTCCATTAATTTATCAAATACATCACTTAACATGAACAAATTATTTTTTTACAAATTCATTAGTTAATGTGTGCATTTCGACTCAATAGGACTCATGGAGTCTTTAAGAAGCAGGTGTTTTAACAAGTACTTTTTTTTTACCGGCACATCTGCTGCCGTAGACAGATGATCAACTAGGAAATTTGATGCGTTAATAAAAGTTGGGTTATTACTCATCACATATAAAGATATATGTGTGTTTATTGTCTGTAAGTTTACAAATTTAAAACATTAACACGTTGGAAGTAACAATGGTTAAGTCTACTGTGAATACTAACTTGTAACCAGTAGTTATCCGCGTGTTTGCACATTACACAATTCGCAGCCAGGGACAAGGTTCAGTGATCACATCAGAGTACTGTAATTAGGCTTAACATTAATACTTTATATACATATTATTAAAGAAATCTGGGCAAGTGATTGATATCAGTTAACAACAGTTTAAGTTGCATATACGGTTTAGGTATAATACAAGGAGATAGATACGTTAATGCTGTTCTTCTTAACAGATATAAAGCAGAAATAAGTGAATGTGTAACTCGATATTTTACTCTCCTCATTCCTGTGTAAAAACTTCATTATATGGTTTCCTAAATACATATGCTTGTATTGTTTCTTTATTTTTCTTACAGCAAACCCACATAGGGCTATCTGCTGTGTCCACCGAGGGGAATCGAACCCCTGATTTTAGCATTGTAAATCCAAAGTCTTACCGCTGTCACACAGGGAGACCATATGTTTGTAATTCAATAGTGTTCAGTAGGTCGAAAATGAATTAACAATGATGCTTTCAAATTCTCCACCAACTACCATTAAAACATAATTTTTGTAACAATGGTGCTTTCAAATTCTCTACCAACTACAATTAAAACATAATTTTCGTAACAATGATGCTTTCAAATTCTCCACCAACTACCATTAAAACATAATTTTTGTAACAATGGTGCTTTCAAATTCTCCACCAACTAC